TTAGTTATGTTATATAAGTATATAAAATATATCTTATATCAGCCTCTTTCATGAATTTTTAAAAATTTTTTTATTGAATCCTAACTAATTATACATATTTTTGGGGTTCAATGTTGACATATGTTGATCAAATCAATATTACTAGTATATATATTGTTACAAATTGTACTTATTTTTTACGCCCCTTGTCCAATCTCTTCCTATCCCCCTCTCCCTCCCCCCACTCCCACCTCTGATAACCCTAGATTTCTTCCTTCCTTCTGAAAGAGTAATGGTTACTCTGTTGATTTGTTGCCTGGATGATCTGTCCAATGCTGATAGGTGTGTTCAGGTCCCCCAATATTATCATAGGGCAGATGCTGCTTCTGTCAGTCTGGAATGAGCTTTCTGGAGAGAGAAATCCTCCTCTTTTCTTTGATCTCTGCTGGTGACTCTCCTTGTGTCAATGCACTCCAGTGGCTGGCGGACCATCTGCATGGTGATTGTGGTGTATAACTGCTTTCATGGTAGCCATGGTTATTGTGGTGGCTGTGGTGGGTCACCCATGTGGAGTTGATGTTTTTGGCATGTTCCTTGGCACTGGTGGTGTGCCTAGTTGTGGGAGGGGGGGGTCTGGTCCCCGGCTCAATGCCTCAGGACCCTGGTCGGGCCCTGAGACGCTGGCGGTGTGCTTGGTTGTGGGAGGGGGTCCGGTCCCCAGCTCCATACCTCAGATACCGAGTCAGGCCCTGAGGCACTGGCAGTGTGCCTGGTTGTGGGAGGGGCATCTGGTCCACAACTCCATGCCTCAGGTCCCCAGGTAAGCCCTGAGGTGCTGGCAGTGTGCCTGGTTGTGTGTGGGGGGGTCTGGTCCCTGGCTCTATGCCTCAGGCCCTCTTTCGTGAATTTTATTTCTAGAAGTTTTTCATGTGATTTTCTTGAGCTGCCTAGGTACAAAGCTTAGCCTAGAAATACAACACAGAAATACTTCTATTTCTATTTTCTATGTCATTACATTGGCCAGAGCATCAAGAATTATGTTAAATAATAATGGTGACAGAAAGCTTCACTATTAAGTTAGATATTCGTTTTGTTTATCATGTTAAGAAAGTATCCTTCTACTTAGAGTTTGACCAAGCATTTTAAATGAAGAACAGGTAACAAATTTTATCAAATTCTTCATCAGCATCCATTGATATTATCCTTTTTTCTTATTAAATCATAGAATTAATGTATTTTAGGAGTTCCCAAATATTAATCTATCCTTACATAGTTTCATAAGCTTAACTAAGAAGTTGTCCCCTATATTTTTGGATTCCATTTCAAGTATTTTAATTAGGATTTTTACATCTATATTTATAAATGAGATTGGGCCATAGTTTCCTTTTATGGACTTTGTCAGTGTTTGTATCAAGATTATATAAACCTCATTAATTAAACCGAAGACTTTTCTGTCATTCTAGTTTTAGAATAAAAACTTTTTTTGAGGCTGTGTCCTAATAAAACTTTATTTACAAAAAATAGGCAGCAGGCTGGATTTGGCCTGTGGCTGTAGTTTGTAGGCCCGTAGTTTGAGAGTGACAGTTCTTTTTATTATGCTATTAGTTTCATATCATTATTTTTATAATACCTCACTTGTAAATCAGTTTATAATTTTTAGTCCATTATACCTAACTGACTGTGTGGTAAGCACGATGGGTATGGTTACACCCATATTAATAGTGAGAAAATGGAACACAGAGAGGTTTTGTGAATCTGAAGCTCCCCAGGCTAGATGCTGGCACCTGCACTAGAACATATGTCTCTCTCTTATAAATAAAAGGACTTTTCATATTAGATGGAACTTATATGGTGTCTGAAGTTATTAAAGAATTCATCCAGAAAACNGAATGTTTATTTTCCTTCTTTAATAATAATAACAGTTCTTAAAGATACACATTTATCTTTAGATGTTGCTTGGCTACTTTCATAAGAGGCATTTTCACTGTAACTCTTACGGTTTTAATGACCTTTTCCATGCTAATCACTCCCAAATCTCTTTAGTCTGGCACTGAATTCATCACTGAATTTCAAACATATTAAAATACCTAAGCTTATGAGGCAATAAAAATGTCTACAAGACCCTCAAAATCAACATGTAAACATATCACCTTCCCCCAAGCTGCAGGTATTCTGACCTTAGTTGTTTTCTCTAGCATCATCTCAGGCAACAAAGCAAAAATCTGGGTTATATCCTACATCTTCCTGTCTTCCCAAGTCTCCATATTCAATTAGTCACAAATTCTTCCTAATTTTACTCCTTTAATTTTATCCTCTCTTCTCTAGTCCTACAAATATCACTTTTTCAGGCTGTTATCATTCCTTCTATAGCCTCTCATCTGAGGAAATCAATAGTTCACACTTTACTGATGGAATTGATGATTCAGGGAGGTTTGAAATATAAACTATCTGAAAACTTTTTAAAGGAAAGATATTTTCTAAAACATCATATTCCTACTAGGAAAAAAATCAATAAGTGCAAAAGATTTAGAAAGTTAGATAAAATGTACCTTTTAAGAAAGCTGCTTAGGGGCCGGCCCGGTGGCGCACTGCTACAGTGCGCCGCTTGGGAGCGTGGTGGCGCTC